AAAAACTTTTAACGACAATTTTTAACTTTCTTTATATTATGAGTTAACAATCTAATTTTATTTATTAATTTAGCTTTCACGCGTAAAATCATTTAAAATCAAAATCTTTCAACTCTTACCCTAAAGAAATTATAACTAAGTCACATACTTGTTGAACTCATTGATATTATGCTTGTTCTGAACGCAGAAGTTCTCAAACAAAACTTTAGAGTTGTTATACAATATATTATTAAAAGGGAAAAAAACGCTGCTAATTGTCAGAAGATCCCCACCATGTGAATGATTGTCTAAACACAAAGCAAACCCTATACCTAATGTGTACATTATTTTTCTCTTGGGTTCATACCAAATATTGGCTGCCAGCTACACTACCAAACATATTCCTTCATTTTCCTTCTAAATATCAACCAAACAGCACAAATAATATATTGGTCTGAGTGGAAGGAGTTCGGTTTCTCTAAAATAAAATCTTGAGTTCGAATCTTGTAAATAGAGAAATAAACATTGTGATAGCTTCCCCCAAATGAGATCTGACGCGACTTAATTCCGAGTTAATTGAGATCCAATGTAGTTATTAGATAGCGAGAAGTCATTAAAAAAAAAAATCAACCAAACAACTCCTTAATCCATTTTTTTGATACAAACAAACTTAGAGTTGTTGAGGAAGTAGTAACCTTTTTTCCTTATGTTTAGGAACTAACCCTGAAGAAAGGAGGCCATTGCCTCTCTTTTTTTCTTTTTTTTTGTGGAACCTCATTGCCTCCCAATTGGAACCAGTAAATATGAATCACTTATTTTATTCATAGGATTATATTTTAGTTAAATAATGGATTAAAAGTCTAAAGTTAGGTTAGTTAGATCATTGCCCATATCCAATTAAATTGGGAAGTCGATACATATATACTAAAATATTAACCTATAACAAAATATTTCAATACTTAAGTGACATGAAATGAGTAGAAATATATGGTCAAAATTGAGAAAAGTTCTAACATTTCATTTTTCTTCAGCTATTAGTCAGTAAGAAAGGCCAAAAAATGATATTTAAGTAAAATTTACCCCATTTTGCCTTCTTGGGAATGTATATATATATTATTAATAACATGTTGTCTGAAGGACCCGAATTTCACAATCCAGTCCAATGTCTGAGAATTTCAGCCCAACTTCTTGAATTGGGTCTTAACTTTTAAGCAAAGCCCGAACATCTGGTATTCTGATGTAAGCCTCACTGACCCGTTATAGGCTCAGTTTTGTGTTTGGGCTTTGGGTTTATAAGATTTTTCTGGATTTGAGGCTCACTTTTCTTAAATGAGCTTCCTCATTTATAGTTCTTTTGAATGAGGACCAGCCCAAGAGAAACAATTATTCAGTCAATCACCGTGATTTTCTCTCTCTCTCTCTCTCTCTCTCTCTCTTTTAGTTTTTTACTTTATGAGTCCAAGACTCAATACAAAAGCTATTAGAGGGGGAAAATAATATTTGTATAATTTTTTTATTTTATTTTTTTGTATAATTTGATGTGTTATTAACATGATTAATTTTTTTAATTCATGTGGGAGTTATAATATTTAATGTATCAATTTAGTTAATAATATGTAAAAGTTGTATAAAAAAATAAGATAAAAAAATTGTTCTAATAGCACCACCCTTAAAGGAGAAATAGAGTCTTTAAAATCAAGAGGTAATTAATAATCTGAAATAGTTTGAACTGAAAAAAAAAAGAAAAAAAAGGTGAACATATGACCTGAATTCTAATATATCCATTTATCATTGAATGAGACCTCTTGTATGGTAGAAAGGCTGAGGTTAAAAAATATTGAGATTGTGGGTTTGAGTTCCATCTTCGGCGGGTTTATGCGCCACTTACAACATGTATTTCACATTAAAAAAAAAAAATGAAATTAGACAAATTAGGTAATCATTATCTATCGCCAGACTAAAAAGTGGGCCAAATCCGCAATGGCATTGTGTATTTGGGAGATAATTAAGACAATTTTTTTTATATCCATTTATCATTGAATGAGACCTCTTGTATGGTAGAAAGGCTGAGGTTAAAAAATATTGAGATTGTGGGTTTGAGTTCCATCTTCGGCGG